CGTCCATGATCTGCGGTGGGTACAGGGTGAGACCCAGGCCCCCACCTCCCCGAGTGAGGAGGCAGTGACTGCCCCCCCACCGTCCATGATCTGTGGTGGGTACAGGGTGAGACCCAGGCCCCTACCTCCCCGAGTGAGGAGGCAGTGAGTGCCCCCCCACCATCCATGATCTGCGGTGGGTACAGGGTGAGACCCAGGCCCCCACCTACCTGAGTGAGGAGGCAGTGACTGCCCCCCCACCGTCCATGGTCTGTGGTGGGTGCAGGGTGAGACCCAGGCCTCTCAAGTGAGGAGGCAGCTGATCCCCTCCCCCATCCATGATCTGCAGGTGGGTGCATGGGTCATACCGAGTGTCCCTGCCTCTCCGAGTGAGGAGACATCTGACGCCCTCCCCTCGTCCACGATCTGGGGGTGTGAATACAGGCGAGACCCAGGTCCCCCGAGTGCCCCCCGAGTGCCTCCCGCTCCTACCTGGTACATCTCCCTGTGCATGTGCCCGATCATCTGCAGCCCCCCAGCCGCCATGGTGCGAGGAGGCAGGCTGGAGGGGCCGGGCCCCAGCAGGAGCCGGGTGGGGATGGAGAGGGGCTTGAGCAGGGCCTTGGGGGGTGCCACCAGCAGCTGGTGCGAGGCCATAGTCCTCACCCAACCTGCTGCTCTGGGACCCAGGGCTGCACTGGCCTTGGCCAGAGCCTGGAACATTTCCCCTTGGGCCGGACACAGGGGTGAGAAGTGAGGATTGGTGGATGGGCTTCTGGGCGGCCCTGCCTTTTGCTCTTGTTCCCTGAGCCTTATCTGTGTTATCCTGTAGGTCAGGGCCAGGCAGCAGGGGGCTGAGCCCTCAGGCAGAGGGAGCCTCCGGGGCTGAGTGACAGAAAAGCGGAGTGCCACAGAGCTGTCCTGGTCACAGCCCTCCCTGCTTCCCGCTAAGACCTGGGTCCAGCCCCTCCCATCCTGCTTAGCTCAGACATTGGCTCCACCTGGAAGGGCGGACAACCTGAATTGGGGTGGCTTCGAGGTCATAGGCAGATTTAAACAGATTTTGATTGGCAACTGATGGGCAATCTAAGCTTCAGTCAGAGAAGTGTTTCCTAAAGGGTCCAGCACAAGTCACAGAGGCTTGGCGGGACCTGTGGTCTGTGTTGTAACAACCCCCCCCCGCCCACGTTGGCTGATGTGTTGCAAAGCCGCTGCCATAGGTGTGGGCGTGTTCCCGTAAAACCTTGTTTACAAAAAGCAGGTGGCAGGCCACACGGGGTCCATGGGCCGTAGCTACTGACCCTGGCTCAGCTGATGGGAAGGCTTGCAACCAAAAATAAAACGTGAGGTGTAGGGCACGTTGGGGGCCAGATGTAAGGCTGTGGGTCCCACAGGGTCTGGGGTGAGCCTTATGCTGTGCTGAGGCGCAGATTCCGAGAAATAAAGAGACAGGACACAGAAGTACAAAGAAAATGCAGCTGGGCTCAGGGGGCCACGCCACCTACAAGCGGAGTCAGGCGAGGCCCCAAATGTCCAGAAGTGTGAGTATTTACTGTGTATAGGTCAGGGGGCAGGGCAGTGAGTGAAATCATCTTTAAGGATAGTGATAGGGTCGTGAGCAATAAAACATAGGGTCCACCCCCATTAGGTCACCTAGGCTAGGAGGTGGACAGTGCACAGCAAGGGGCCTGTTACCACGAAGGCAAGGGCCGTGTGCAATAAGGGGTCCACCCCCCATTGGGTCACCGAGGCTTGAAGGTGGGCCGTGCGCAGTGAAGAGGGTGCAGTGTGCGATACTTCTATCTATGGGCAAACTACTAAGAAGATTTAAAGGAGGATGCTTTGTCACACAGCAGTGACAGAGCTGTCAAGGTTACCGCCACCTTCTGGCAGCTTCCAATGGGTTCTATGGGAAGATGCTTTTCGAGCAGCACAGTAGCAAGAGCTGATAAAGTTCAGTCACCAAGGTGGATTGCCAATCTGAGGGCAGACTTCCACAAGAACTGCAGCAAGGTCCTACAACTCCTTTATCAGGAGGAGTGGCTCTCGCCCCAAGCCTGCCATACAGCGGGTATCTTTACGATACTGAACGCTGCCACCTGGGCCATGGGTTCTTGTCCTGGTATAACTGTTTTTCCCTTAAATCACGCTCTGCACTGTGTCTGCTCCAGGCATTCCTCCGATTATAAGCTGCTTATTCCTTAATTCATGCTCTGTACTGTGTCCACTCTAGGCATTCCTCTGATTATGAACTAAGATATAATTATAGGTATATATGTAGGGAAATATTCTTCAGGCACTCATACTATCAACTGTTATATGATTATATATAGAGGATTATATAAAGGGAGACTTCAAGCCCTAACACTATAAACTAATATATGATTGTATAAAGGACTATGTAAAAGGAAACAGCTGAGTAGCAACACTATGAAGTCACTATTCCTCAAGCCCTAACTGTGCCAGGGCTCTGCTTGGCTCTCAATCCTCGGTGCCTATATGGGGGGTTACCCACATGAAGGTCCCGGCAACTACGTGAATGGGCTTCCCTCTCCGCCAGGGCACTCCAAAATCGCGCCTGGAAGACGCTCAGGCCCGATGGTCGCGTCTACACATCAACATCAACGGAGACCCCAAGCCCGCTAGGAAACACGCCGTCTACTTCCTCTCTCAAGGCCGCTCCCTGGAGGTGTCACCTGCTCCCCACACCCCGACTCAGAACCGAGACACTCCTTTCCCTGGTAACACGTCTTTCCATCGAAATACGTTTAAATTCAAGTTGTGCCGCCCTCCAGATGGAGCCAGGGCCCGTCTCACAGGTGTCCACTGACGCCGCGTGTCTCCCCAAAACGTCTAGAAGCGAGCCGGCCCGACCACCCTGCACCCTGGCACGGCTGCCCTCCCCCAGGAGGCTGTGTCATGGGTGCGCCCTCGGCCTGGGTGAGGCTGCAGCTAATTTAGGAAAGAAACTTTCTAAATTAACTGAGACCCGTTTCGGATACTTTTTGGTTTCCAGGCTCAATGCAGCAAATAATCCTGCACTGCGTATAGACAAGGCAAGGGTGGCCCCTGCGTGCGTGCTCCCGGCGTGCGTGCTCCCGGCGTGCGTGCTCCCGGCGTGCGTGCTCCCGGCGTGCGTGCTCCCGGCGGGCGTGCTCCCGGCGGGCGTGCGTCCCGGCTTGCGTGCTCCCGGC